CATTTATTCGTTTGAAGTTAGCAGAGGGCCTGATTGGATGCGCCTTGGACATCTCAATAATCCGCTGAAACAGCCACCAAAACGTGAATATTTAATTTTAAAAGAAATTGATTTACGCAGCAGAGCACGCTAACCTTGGTGCAATTATATCGTGGCCCTACTTTGCAAAGCTACGCTTTTCGTGATAACTTGTGTATGCACACCGAAGGCAATGTGGTTCTCGGATAACAACCACTGTCAAAACTGGTCAATCGTCTTCAGGAAAAACCGAAAAGTGCTCTAGATCAAGGCGCTGGAACGACTTCCACACCTCCTCTCGGCACTTCGCTTTCGTGGCGCCGGAGTTTTGTCGTCACCTGGTTGCCAATATCTGCCGATTATTTCTCCAATACTTTTGCAGGCCCATTAAGGGGCCGTATTTAGCCATGATGCTATATGGCAATAACAGATTCAAGCGATATTTTAATAAGAAATGTCGAAAAAATAATTTACAGGAAGCAACCCTGCTCTATATTTAAATAAAAACAATGAAATTCTGACCTGAGATCGAGTTTTGACCGTGAAACCACATTAGACGCCTCAGCTCGCCAGCATAAATTGATAAGCGGAATCATGTAGAATACTTTGACCAATGGTATTACTCCACGGACGCCAGAAACCGTTGCGTGCTATGTCATAAGACGAAATATGCCGTGCAAGCATGTTTACGCATTAGCGCCGAATTAAGAGCTATTAATATGTCCAGACTGGAGTCCTCTGTGTAGGTCTAAAATCGAAAACGTGTAAAAAAAGGCAAAGGCGTAGAGCTCAATGATTAAGGCGTTTGACTCCGATCAAAGATGTTGCGAATTCGAGGTTCGGGTGGGACGCCACTTGAATCTGGTTATGACTGGCTGACGACGCTTAATAAGGCAGAAATAGCTATTCCAGTCTCCCTTATTTTTGCCGGTAATAGTATCTGCCTATAAATCCAGCTGTCATGGCCGTCATGACCTCCAGCTGGACCCAAGGCAGAGCGGGACGGGTGAGTTTCCTTAGCTGTCGGCTAAAAGTTCATCAATAAGGAGGAGAATATCAGGTTTCCCGTATTGA